TGTTTGAATTTTTTTGTTGTTTTGTTTGAGATTGTGACTAAAAGCAAAGCATTAGTTAATTCTATCAAGCCTCCTGGAACTCTTGAATAATTTTTCCCATGTCCAGTATGCAGGAAGCTATTGGGGACTTCAGTAAACACCGGTAATCAGCAGTCAGCCGGTAGAATCCAGTTTGTTTTATTCTGGGCCAGATAAGCTATTCTAGAGAGAATTACTTAGAAAGGGTGCCCCTACCTTTACCATTCCCTTGATCAGAGCTGAGAGTTCCTAATATCTTCCTGGAATCTCATAGTGTTTAGTATTTATTATAGTGGAAGATCTAGGCAATCTAAAAGCTTCCAGTTTGTTATATCCAACTTAACCTAGGTTGAGGAATGGCTTGCCCAAGATTAGGCTCAAGCCAGAAATGGCAAGATTCTTCATTCATGTATTATGCCCTTTCCAATTATACATTTAGCCAAAGGCAGTACCACCTACTGACCACGTCTTGCCCTCATTTTTCCTATCTACAGTGTTTAGTGTGACCATGCTACCACTGTGACAGCTGATCCTTGGCCTCTTCCCTGCTCCAGCAACTTCTCTTTTGATCTTTTTATTGTCCTCTGGTTCCCCAGCTGCATTGCCATATATTTTGCCCCAGCATCAGGTGACCCCAGGAAGCTGTGTTCACTACCCCAGCCATTCGCCTTTAATGATAGCACAGCCCGAGAACTCCCCCTACTCAGAATTGGGCGAGGAAATCTTGGCCTTCAAATCCGGCTTTTTTTGTTTCAACTGCCTTAACTGAGGGAGTAAATTTAGCAACCTGTGTCAGAGCCTTTTGTTTCCATTCCCCATTGGCACCATGGGATTTAACTTTAGAGATGAAAGCTACACACAGGGTTCCTTCGCAGAGGCAGCTGCAAAACTGGAACAGATTTCCGTCCTCCCAGCAGGCAATAATGTGCCAGGAAATCAATCACAGAAATCCTGTCCTCTTTAGCTGTGTTTTTGTATGTGTGTGTGTCTTAATAGCCACCTAAAGAGAGCTCATAGATTTACCTCTGGCCAGGATCTCCCCTGTGAATAGCCCAGATTTTCTTCCCATCAGTAAAGCCCAGCATGAAGCTGTGAGGGTAAATGTACCCAGGAATCTAAATGCCCTCCTGCTTCCCGAAATGAGGACCACATGCCCAACAGACTCCCATAACCAGTGTCTATGAGAGTTTTGGTCAGAGCACATGGTTTGAGAAGACGCCTTTCCAATGTCATGTGGCCAGCCCGGGTTTGCTATGACACTTGTATCTACTCTTCCAGAGAGGTGTTCCACTTCACTGTAGTGAGAGAGGCAATTTCCTTCCTCAGCATAGATTCATACCACCCAAGCTTCTTCTACTCCAAATGACCATTGGTCTTAACTCCGCCAGTATTTTCTGAGTGATAGTACTGCAGCAACTTGGGATTAACATTCACACCAAACATTGCTTTTCATGCTGCAGCATCCAAAAATGCATTATGAGCTCCTAGGTAAATTAATCAAAAGATCCAGGAAAGCATGGATAGTCCAGATAACTGCCAACACTTCTCAGTGAAGTGACCACCTCCTTTCTGCCATAGCTGCTGTGCTCAATCCAGTAGCTACTAGCCACATGTGGTAACTGCACAGAAATGCACTAGAGTCAGCACTGAGACAGGCTGCAATGTAAAGGATACACCAGAGTTCAAGGACTCAGTACGAAACCCAGAATGTGAAACATCTCTTCAATTTTTACTGTGAATGAATAAATGTTGAAATAATATTTTGAACACATCGAGTTCTATTTTTTAAAAAATTAAAATTAATGTTCCCTTTAACTTGTTGAAATGCAGTTAATGTGACATTTAAACTTGCACCCATGGCTTTCATTCGTGGCTCACATTATATTTTTATGGAACCCAGCTGTGCTATAGTCACCAGTTTCTGGTGTCACTTGCCTATGTGTAATGTCCTTCCAAGTCCTGGCTGGGCCTATTTTTTTTTTTTTTTAGATTAGAAAATATAGTTTATTTAGAAAGTAAATTAGAGAGAGAGAGAGGGGAGATGGGGAGATTCACTTCCCAGGGGGCCAAAGCCAGAAAACATGGCCCAGCCATAGCCCAGAGAGCACATGGCCACACCATAGTTTAGCAAGGCAATGGTCAATCTGGCTGGGCCTTATTTTCACCTTGAGCACAGTGATTCATGTCATAAGAATTATTCATGAATAATAGGAAACCAGGAGTTAATTGTATCTTGAGACTCTTTCCCTTCAGTTTTATCTCACTGGTCATCCATCAGCCAGTTCAGCAGGGCGTGAGTCTGTGCCATGCATCTTCCAATAGTAAGTTCCATCCAGGCCCAGTTATTTTCACAGAGCCTTTACTGCTTTAACCCAGGATAAATCAGCATCAGCTTCTCAAGAACTCAGAATGCCCCTCCAGGACTTTTAACCTTATTGAGTCTGAAAGGTTCTAAAAGCATGGTCACCTTCTGTCAGCACTGCTGAGACCCGGGGTTGAAATTGTCATTCAGACTCTCCAGACACCAAGAGACTTTCAGCGAATATTATGTTCACTTAGTCTCGTAGGAGCGTGTGGGTCAGGAAGCCCACTGGGCCTGCAGCATCTTCATAGCACAGAAGACTCTGCCGTTTCTCAGAGGTGCTTTTTCTTTTGCCCCCTCACCTCCTTGGGACATGTAGGCACAGCTGCTGTGGACAAAAGCCAAGGTGTATATATGACCCCTTGATACCAGAAGTCCCAGCTTTGCTTTGAACCAAGCTTGTATACCACACAGTCATGCGAGCCAAACATCTTTAGCCAATAAGGAGCTCTCCAGGGCAGGCCTAGTCCCTCACTGTCACCGAGGCTGACTCCAATACCCCAGTTGGCTCAGTTATATTGTTTTCAAAGAAATGATGCTATGGGAATCAGGAGTCATTCTCAGTGGTCCCAGCAGCCCAGGCCGGATGTTAACTCTTTATTCACAGTCAGTGATGTGGAAAGACACAATGGAGAAAAGTTCAGTTGCTCAGTTCTATGTGAATTTTAAGTGGGTCATCTCTGTTTTGAAATGAGCAGCCGGGGTCTCTAAAGGTTTTAAAATAAGTTCTCCAGAACAGGTGGTTAGAAAGGTAGTCAGTGAATTCTGCTTTATAAACACATCAGCTAGAATCCTGAAGTCTCAGTATTTTGGTAATGAATTTTCCAATTGTTTCGGCTAAAATGTCAATACCTCATTGTAAATGCTCGTTAAGAAGTTACCTTTTGTCCTATTTTTAGATAATTTTTTTTTAACACATGAGTTGACATAGTTTAAAAGATAATCTTACACTTCAACAGTCAACTGAGATTTACACAAAATAGTACAAATTGCCTGGGTGACGTATGTTTTCCTTCTGGAATGCGAACACCAGCATGATTTACTAAATTATAAGAATGCTATTTTAGCAATTACATAAGAACAGCTTAATCCAAATTCCTAAGATATAGAAAATTTCAAAGCAAACAATAAGGTTGCCTTAAAATTTTCATGGATGCCAAAGACATGGTAATCTAAATAAGCATGTTTATTAAAAAGCACTGGAAAATTGATTTCAAATTTTTTGCAAGACTACAGCAGTTGTTTCAGGTAACTTGGACTGTCAGCGTTTATTTCAAATGTGTGTCCTTAAAATTCAATTGCTTATATATCTTACAGTTGAAATACTTTCCAACAATTATTTTTTTTTCCTGTAGAATGATCTTACTTTCATAATTCCCCAAAGAAGCTATTTTATACATTACTACATCAGCTTTGGCTATCTCATTTTTAGAATCCATTTTAATTTCTATTTTCACTTTCATATTATAACATACGGTTCATTGAGCAGCTACTTTCACAGACCCAAAATAATTTTCAAGAGTTTGGGCTAATTATTTTCATCTTTTATGTTAGTATAAAACATTATTATATAAGAAAGATAAAGCAACTTTATAAAATGTTTTCTCTTTTAAATTTACACTATTAGTAGCAAAAAAAAAATCTTATTTGTTGGTAGTTACCTAATGTTACATTCTAAATAAATGCATTGAAGTAAATTATTCATCACCAACATTCATTACAAATTATTAAATAGCATATTTCTCTCTCATAAGAACATCTCATTTATCATTTATTTGTTAAGTAATTTTGGCTTAATAATTTTACATTTTGGCTTTCTTTTCACTTACATACATGAAAAATTATCTTCAATTTGCCACATTTAAGTGTAATGATATTTTTTAGAAGAACATAATAAATTGTAAATAATACGTTTATAATGTTTCTGTCTTTCACATGAAATAAATGGTGCCAAACTTTATTTATGATTTCAACTAATCTAATGCACCTGAAAAGTAATTGTATATACATTAGAATGCATGACTAACTTATTGGTTTTCCAAAAGGCTTAGTATGCAACAGAAAGATAGCATAAAGTGAGGATACCCCAAAACCAGGTAGTGGTATTGAACTAGACTATTTTCTGAGAAAGTGACTTCAAATTGTAGGAAAATGCATAAAAGATTTGCCTCCACAAGAAAGAAAAATTCAGTCAATGATTTTGATATTTTCCCCTTTAGCATCATATGTTTATCCATTTAGATGCATAATACAAAAAAAAAAAAAAAACTAGTACATGAGCATATATAACACAATTTCCCAGGAGAATTTTTTCTTGGTCTCTTTTTTTAGATATTCCAGTAATAAGTAGACATATCAGAATTTTAGTTTTACCATCAAAACATAGCTTTTGAGAGCTTCGTATTTATTAATGGGCATGTCTATATGGTGCAGCAGGATAAATGAATAAAACTTCAGTGGAGAAAAACAGCAACTCATCTAACTCATCTTTCTGTGCTTCCATTATCTTTTGTTAATGTAAACATTTATCATGATGAAACTTCAGTTGTGACTCTTGAAATACCTGTCACAGATGCTCTGTTCCATTACTAAGGGGCTTTCTCACATTTTTCTTTGACAGGATGATGAGGTAAGGGAAAGTCGGTTCAGCTTCACAGCCTATGGAATGGGACCATGTCTACAAGCAAAAGACGGCGTGACTCCAAAGGGCCCCACCCACCCTGTCCAGGTAATGCCAAAAAGCCCCGATGAGATGAGGAAGGTTTTTATCGACCGGGCCAAGAAGATTGACACCATCTCCCGAGCCTGCTTCCCGTTAGCCTTTTTGATTTTTAATATATTTTATTGGGTTATCTATAAAATTCTTAGGCACGAGGATATTCATCAGCAACAAGATTAAGTCTCTGGGGTAGTGCAAGTGCAAACGGTCAACCCAGAAGCAAGTGTCTTCACCGGGGTGTGAGTGTGTGTGTATATGTGTGTACGTGTGGTGTACAAGTGATGACCATTGTATATGGGAAAAGGATTGTATTTTGGGAAAGGATTGTATTTTGATTTGCTATGCAAAGTCATGAGATAGGTTAAGAGTCTTTTAATAAATATAAAATATATATTATGGGATTCTATTTCATATTAATTCCAGATGATTTGTTTTTTCACAGTAAATCATATAAACAAGTTTTACTGCCAATGTGTTTGTATGTTATATAACATAATCGTAGACATGAAAGCTGCTTTGGAATTTATTTTTAATTCAATGCTGTTAAATCTTACAAAAACAAAATTTTGCACAGTAAATTTTATGAAAGAAAAAGGGGAAATGAAAATAATAAAAATCAACAGCTTGAGATTTAAAACTATTTTCTTATAGTATAGTTATATGATAGAAGAGTCAGTTAATTCAATGTAAAATGAATTCAGAATAGAGAATTATACACCCTAACATTATATAACCACCATATATAATTAGAAAATTTTAAATCGAGAGATTGAAATAAAATACTTTTATTATTTAGAATATGAAATTTAGTTTTTTAGAGTACTAAATTTCCCTCTGTGCAAATTTTTAAAGCAAATAACATAAGAGATCATGTTGCACACACAATCTACTTTTCTTAAACTTTATATTTTTAGGAGTGAAGGTGGAAATACTGAAAACAACTTTGTTTTTAAATAAATGTTACTGCTAAGTATTTTTAATTATTGCCAAACGCTGAAAAATTCAACCAGAACCCTTGCTTTTGTTAGATTTTTAATAGCTGCTTAATTGTCTGTATGTGATTGTGTTTAATGTTTTGATATAAATGAACACAGTTCAGTAAGACTTTTATATTTTAGTTTAGAATGAGACTTTAAAATTCCATGGGATTAAAATATTTACATTTTGATAAAAGCTACTTCAATGAAAACAAAAATTGATTCATAAAAGGTTTTTTAAAATAAGAACAGCTTTCCCGTCAAAGTCTTATATGCATTTAAACTCCTATCTCCAAATATAAGGAGGGAAGGTTTTAATCCTAAGTAATATTAATAAGTCATTTCTATAAAGTGAGAATTGCTTTTATATTTCTGAATTAACGATTTCAAAATATAAGCCGTTCACAAGATGTGAATAATTTAAATGGAATTTTTATGTAAAATTTATTGATGACCCTATGGGATTACTTCAACTACAGTGGGGCATTATTAAGTCATTCTGTGGTATAACCAGGCGCAAATGTGTAATAGAGTTCTTGGTTAAATGGTACCAGTCTGTGATTCTTTTTCATTTTTTCTGGTTTTGCAACTATTTTATCATCAATGTTGTATTTGAAAAAGCTTTAGGGGGAGGGAGGGGGAGAAAAAAGAAAAAGCTTTAGACTGCTTTCTAGATATCTGAATTATTGATAGATGCACTGAATGGAAACTCAGTGCTCCCAATTATTCAGAGAGAAGAGTTTAAATGTTAAGAAAGTAATTAACCCAGCTATAAGACAAAAAAGTCAGTTAGTGCTATGAATCACATAGAACTATTTTCTGAACATCAATCATTCTGAAACTAAAAGCAAAAACTACCATTTAAACCAAACCAGCAAAATTCAATGTTATTGCACTTCAGCTGATCCCATTGTAATTTTTTAAAATAGCTTTAAAAGGAATATCATATGTTCAGTAGTTTTTTGTTTAGTTAAAATACAAATTCCCCTCCTTTGTAAGTAATTTAAAACAACTGCTTAAGAAAAAAATCTCACATTTGGCATCATATGCAAATGCCACAACTGAAAGAATTTGTTACTGTGAATTCACTTACTTTGAGGACTATGCACCCAAAAGTTAAGCATATGCTTTCTTAATTGGTATGTATGAACCTAAACCATGGACATACATTGCCATTAAAGATTAGAACAAGATGTGTTGCTTGTGCTCACTGACAATTAGCAGGAGAGTTCCAAGTACTGATCAACTACGTTGTCTCCATGCCTCTGAAATACTTGAATGCATTTTTCTATACACATCTTATTTCAACTTTTCCAAAGTTGCTTAAATTAAGTGAATTCTGCCAGAAGTAAACAGGGATATAATGAACATAAACATGCGCAATTCCAAATAAATTTACAGACATCATTTGTGTTCATATTTGAGGATATTAAAAATGTCTCTTTTTTAAAAACCTGAAACTTGGAAGATGAACATGCCAACCATGAGACAATTTGTCAGCAAGGACATTGGAACATAAGAAATGTCTCTATCTCAAAAGTGTTACACTTTTTGTAAGCATAGTTTTCCTTTTCTATTATACTTGTCACTACTTTACTGCACTAAGAAAATACTCTAACAGCTTTTATTCCCAAGGCAACAGTGACAAGGCAAACTTGGCTGAATCCAATATGCATAAAGGAATATGTCCCCTCTAATGAACTTGTATAGACACTTCAAAACTGCAAAACTACTTTGAACTTAGCATCCTGAGATGGTATTTGCCTCAATAAACCCTGTGTCCAACCAGAAGATTGCAAATTAAATCAATCACAAAATTATGAATAGTGAGAAATTTAAAAATGTGTGAAGATATACTAACTACCATATACGTAAGTTGGAATTCCAATGTGGATATTCTCAAGTATTTTGAAATATCCACATTAGAAAATACGGAATTTGTGTGCATGCAGTTTATAACACTTTTCAAAAAGAATTATGTATCTCAGTCATTGAAATATTTTATTCTACAACACATGAGTTTATGGGAAATCGTATACCTTGGCATATATGTGCTTAACCTTCTTTTTCTTTCCCAACTATTAGAATTGGATTTAAATCATAATGTGGACCTAGCACTTTCTTGACTACTTAAAAGAGATTCCAGAATCAATATATAAGCAAGAAAGCCAAGGGTCTTTAAAACTAACCTAACCTTGCCAGAAGTTTCTCCTTGACACTGACCTGAAGAGCCCATCCAGCTCTAAGCTGCTGTATTAGGTACCATTAATGCTGCTCATCTTATTCGATAATGAATTCTTAGTCTAAGTATGGATTCTTTATCTTAATTTTGAATTATAAGTGTTTGTATATCTATGTATTCCTAAGATATGAATACATGTAATAGTTTATAAATGCCCAGGATCTTATGGAAGATAATATAAATTTTAGAAAAAACGTGTGAAAAAATAAGCCAATGTGTTAAATAGAAGACAGTAAGCTGTTAACTACATTAGTACCCTGAAACTTAAGGAGTTATAAAAGTTGTGGCAAATTTAGCTGTATCTTCTATAATATAGATCCCTTTTTATGAATGTATTTCATTCCATTTTGAAAACTATACTTTTCTATTCTTAACATAATATACCTCAACCTGTTACTGAATATCACATTAGTAACTAAATTTTTCTTTCATCTATAAAGAATACATTCCATGAAATGGACACGAGGGAATATGAGACTTGCCAAAATTAAAATAGAAGAGACTTTCCATATTTAATAAATGAGAAAGGAAATTAGAATTGCTTATTAATACATGTTGGAAGACATAGTATATGTAGACACACAAATTCCCTCTTGATTGAATGTAAATTAGATACTCATAATACCCATTGCACTTTATTCCTTATGAGACATCTTCTCCAGAAGATACATTATTTTTAATTTTCTTATTCATGTACTACAAAGAGTGGTAAAATATAGCAGTCATCTTATTTTCATTGTTATATAAACTTTGCATGAATAATCAATGTACATTAAAAACTGTATTAATTTAATTAACTTTAATGTTAAAGTTATTCTAGCCCCTCACTTCTCTTTAAAAACATACTGCTGTTAAAAAGTGAATTTCCACAGGGAGACAGCTGATATTCTAATTACTTAAAAAGTAGTGATCCATATTCTTCCATAGCAAAGATTATTAGAACATATGTGTAAAATGCAACTACTTACAATTTAAAAATAACTAGGGCAGGGAAAATAATCTGGAGAAGCTTATCTCAAAAATCAGGCCAAGAAATATAGAAATCCTAAGCCACTAGCTGGGATCCCTTACCTGATTTTGTGTCTACATTTTTCATTTTAACATTATAATACCTTCATTTCTTTCTTTTCTCTTTCTTACACACACACACACACACACACACACACACACACACACACACACACAATTGCATGCTAGTAATGGGATGAACTCCTTCTGATTAAAAATACAAAGGCAGTCGGCTTTCCTGGACAAAGGTCCATAGTCCTGTGATATGTTTTGTAAATATTAAGTGATTCATGGAGGAAAATATGACCCGTACAGTCATTTGATTGGCCATCTTTTAATTGTGAAATAATATTTTGCTCAAAAACACATAAGCAATGCTAATTGGATCAAATTATTTCTGTAACTTTTAACAATAGACTACTAAAACACTATTTTCACCATCTTTGCAGAAAGACGAAATATTTGCCAAAAGGGTCTTCCAAAAGACGACTGGTAACATTGGATGATGTTGTTGTGTCTTAACAGGGAGTTTTCGCAGTATTTTTTTATGGTTCACACATAAATAAAATAAGAGGCAAATTTTAAAATTAATATAGTATTACTTTTTAAAAACTGGTCTTGAACCCGGCTGTATATTGGAATTCCTTATGCACTTAAATATGTATATATACATACATGCATACACACACATGCATGGTGTCCAGCACAGAAAATCATGATACAATCATTGACTAAACAAATATTCATTGTGTTTCTTATGTGTGCCTGGCACTGTTCTAAATGCTAAACTCAGTAGCATTGGAGTAAGGCATAAAATTCTGAACTATTAACAAAATTCACAAGTGAAACAATTGACATGACCGTGCACAAGCTTATTCTTTTAACGGCTCTAAAACATTTTAAAGTTTTAGAATACTTCTTTCTTCAAGTAATCCATTTTAGTTGTCTCTTATCTTATTAGAAAT